ATTCAGGAGTCACATATTGGGGTAAGAGCCTTGAAAGATCAGAGAAGCGGAGAAGCCACCAGTACTCCCTGCCTGCTCTGTTCCTTCCTCCAAACAGAGAACCAAATTCCTCTATGTCCCGCCTTACTACTTCCTATCCTGTCTACAAATCCTCTGTAGTTAATTTTGGTTGGCTAGTGGCTAGCTCCTCTGACTCCAAGCTTTATTTATCAGAACACGATCAAAATATCACATATTTCATCTGTTTTGTCTTAAAAAAAGGAATATTTTTAACTAACTTATTTAACTATATTTATTGTATAATAAATATATACAGGTAAGAATTACGTTAACAATGTCCAGTCCATTTGCATTTGACAAATTCAGAGTAATACCCAATAATCTATTCTGTTTTTGTGAGTTCAAAGTGTTGGACCTAATTCACTTTCTATCCTAACTTGTGTTACCAATGCAAAGCTATCTTTTAATGTCTCTCAGCCTTATACACTTTACATCTGTTTTGTGAGTTTCTTTTCTTACTTCGATAAAAGGAGAACTATAGCTATTTAGTCTTCAACTCTGTCAGAGATCTGAGAAGGATATATTAACTGAGTAAGCAGGAAGTGCAGAGCAAACAGCTTTCAAAACTAAGAAATGACAGAAACAGCTAGCTGCCTAGACAGTCACCCAAGGTTCCTTTGCAGTGTTGGGGTATCCATCTTTGGCCTGCAGGCCTAGCATATCTGGCAGACTTTTCTGTGAAACAGGATTTTTAAGGACTGTCCACCTTGTCTTGGCAAAGTTCAGCAGTCAGTTTCTTTTGTATCCTGATTGTTTGATTTGGGAAGCATAATGTCAACAATTGAGGCAAGGGCAGTTTCTTGCCTAGTGGCTGACTTTTATCACAAAGAAAGTAAATTCCATACAGAGTTTCTTCAACACCCATTATCTTCTTTGAAGTAGATTGGTGCTGCCAGAAGCAGACATGCCTCATTGTCATTAAAAAAAGACAAGAACCTATGTTATTAAAACATCTTAAATGCCATATTCTATAGATCTCTGAAGTGTTTGAAGACTACTCATCTGGCTAAAATATATCTGTTTGACCTTAAAAACATACCTAACATGACTACAAGTTTCATTGTAATAGGTGACTAATAACCTGCATTTCTTTATTATTCTAAATAGTTTGTAATAATAACCTTCAAGGACTAGAAATTTACATGACATTGTTGAATGAGCTGTATAGGTACAATATCTTGAACAAGATTAGAAATGCATATACAGTATGTTCTAACAAAACTAATCTCAAATATGTATCATTATACAAAAATCCATATCAATATAAACTGTTTAAGACTAGTAGTTGCTTTTTTGGTTCAAAAGTATACTCAATTATCTATCCTCCTATCCTATCATTTCTATATCCTTCCCCCTTTTAAGGATGGGATCCCTGATTCTAATCTCCTTTGTTTAGCCTTTTTTTCTTGAACACAACCAATAACAACTTGTAACCAACCCCCTAAATTATGACAACTATCCATAATCCACTGAGCAACCAAAAACCACTCACCCTACCTCTTGTGAATGTGGGCATTGTTCTTAAAATTACTTCCTGCTATCTAGGGGCAATGGCATCTTTAGGGAGCCTGAAAAAAATAGGTTCTCATCTTATGTGGAAACAAAAGCCGAACTTCTTTTCTAAAGTAACATATTCTTAGACTCAAATTTTGAAGTCAAGATATATTTAAAATATATATGTTGGTTTAGTTTAACAGTCCCCAGAATCAAATAATAATCTGCAGCCAAAAAAATGCAAAGAAAACCCAATAATGTACATAATCCAGACTCTGTGTATTTTACTAGAAGGGATCATATAAACTGTGTCTTATCTGCACAAGTTTATTTTATTTATATTTATTTATTTATTTATTTTTGGTTTTTCGAGACAGGGTTTCTCTGTGGCTTTGGAGTCTGTCCTGGAACTAGCTCTATAGACCAGGCTGGTCTCAAACTCACAGAGATTCGTCTGCCTCTGCCTCCCGAGTGCTGGGATTAAAGACATGCGCCACCATCGCCCGGCTGCTCTGCACAAGTTTATTAGGAAATATAGCACCACACGTACATACATTTTGCAGGGAAAGCTGGACAGTAAATAGAAACTGTCATACAATGGGTCAGAGTCAGCTGGGTGGTAATCAAGATGCACAAAGGGAACACAGGACAACTCAAGTTTGTCACAAGCATACAGTGTCCGTAACCCTGTAGATTATTGGTTCTCAACATGTGGGTTGCAACCCCTTCTGGGTCTAATGACTGCTTTCATGGGGGTCACCTAAGACCATTAGAAAACACAGATAATAACATTACAATTCATAATAGCTGCAAAATTACAGTTATAAAGTAGCAATGAACATAATTCTATGGTGGGGGGGGATCACAACATGAGGAACTGTATTAAAAGGTTGCAGCTTTAGGAAGGTGAGAACCACCGTTCTTGGGGGAAGTATTGGGTTCTCAGGATCCAAAACTTAAACTACCCCAAGGTCCTGGCCCCAGGCCATTAATGGCCTTCTTCAGAAGTTTCCTTTTTTATCCATCAGGGCCTCAAAGAAAGCCAGAGATTAGCCTGGTTCCCACCACACCATCCCTCCAGCCCTGGAAAAAGACAAACAAAAAATTTTGTCCTCAGGCAATGTTGCTTATAAAAGTGGGTGGTTGTGTGTGGCACTTAGTTAATGCACAGACAGAGGCCTGAAGTGAAGACTCTTAACCTCTGTGGCCAATTTTCCTCTCAGCTTCGTGGTGTTACTTTGTAATCATACATGGCATTTAAAACTTCCTGTTTCAGTAGCTCCCTGTGTAGTTTCTGAGGGAGGAGTTAGAGCAAGTTTGCAGAGGTGTATAACCCAAATCAGATAGGCAGACCTCTTTGGTTTTCTTTCTTTTGAGGCACAGGCTTGCTGTTATCCAAGGCTAGCCTCAAATTTACTGTGTATCCCAGGTTGGCTTGGAACAAAGATCCTCTTGCCCGTGGCTGAGTGCTGAGACTACAGGCATGCATCACCATTCCTGGCTCTAGACTTTTATTATCTTATTTTTTTTAAAATTTGAGACAGGATCTCAAAACTCTGTTGTCCTGGATGTCCTAGAACTCACTATGTAGACCAGGCTGGCCTTGAACTCACAGAGATCCATCTGCTTCTGCCCCCTAAGTGTTGATTAAAGCATGTGCCACTACACTTGCTGTTTGTTTGCTTTTTATTTTTATATTTTCTGAGACAAGGTTTCTCTGCAACAGCCCTGGATGTCCTGGAACTCGATTTGTAGACTAGAATGACCTGAAACTCACACCTGTTTTTGATTTAATATAAGTTTTTGAGTCTGAGCTTTACTAGATTTCTCTTTTGCTTACAGGTCTGCCTCCTGACCTGTGGACGATTTGATTATTACTTTTCTCAGCATTATTTTTTCACTTGTAAAATGGGACTCTTGGTGTCAGCCTCATAATGTTGTCAAGATTAGAAATGAGGGCTGGCAAGACGGCTCAGTGGATAAAGGCACTTGCCTCAAAAGCCTGGCAGCCTGAGTTTGATCCCTGACCCCACGTGGTGGAAGGAGAGACAGATTTCCCCAACTTATTGTCCGACCTCCATGTGTGCACCACGACATATTTATGCCCCAGCTTTCACACACACACACACACACACACACACACACACACACACACGATAAATAAAACAAAAACGATTAGAAATGGTAACATATATAGGAGCCTTTAAATCCCCCCCATTAATTCTTACAATAAAAACGATGAAGTTGGAGTTAGTGTATCTTGGTTGTAACACCTTGCCCAGTATGTGTGAAACCCTGGGTTCTAACCCCAGCACTCCAAAATAGCAACAACCAAAGAAATGTGTTGTTTTTGTTTTTTAGTGAAAATGTAGCAATAAAGACATTTAAGAAATGGCAGTCCAGCCATAGGGGCTGAAGCTGAAGTATCACCATGAGTTCAAGGCTAGCCATGGCTGCATAGGGAGCTCCTAACTCAAGAAATTAGTACATAATGAAAAAAAATCAAAATGTAAATGAATTTGAAAACTAAACTATTGCTGTATAATTACCCTACTAGTAACAGATAATATTTCAGTCAAATAAAATTTAAGTGGTTTTAATTAAAATGTAATTTTGTCAGCAGAAAAATTTAAAATTGAGCTTTTTAGCATATGTGCCTCAGCACACATGCGGAGGTCAGAGGGCAGCTTTTGGCTCTGCCCTTTTTCCGTTGGTTCTGGGCACATACTTTGCTTCCATGGTAAATGCTTCCATCCTCCAGCCATCTTGCTGGCCTGAACCAGCAGGCATTAAATCTTGCTACTCTTTTGCAGCTGTTGAACTACCAGAAACATCGCGTTTACCACTATGCATGTAGCACTCTTTTGCAGCCCAGGTTGGAGAAGAGTTAAATTATGCCCTTTGACCTTCGGCATGTTTGATATATAATTTGCTTCTCTTTTGGATGTCTAGAACGGTATTAGTTTACACGCAAATCACTGTAGCCTGTTGTGTGTTCCAATAAGGGACACACATGCAGTAGCACTCAGAAAAGAAGCAGCTCCTATTGTGTATGACTGTATGGGGAAAGGTGTGTGGTTTGTTTTTTTTTTTTAGTGTGATCAGGAAGTGGCCAGCACCGTGGCCATTTTCAGGCCTTGTCTTTGGGTCTGGGGCTCTTGGGTGGGCGCTTCCTTTACCCTCTGTAGTGCAGCAGCCTGTTTCCTCCCCTGCAGGGCCTGGCACTGCCTCCATCCACGGAGTTTTTCAGCCTCTTTCTCACCCCATAGCTGCCCTGGTACCCAGAGTTAGTGCCTTACCTCAGAGTCCTTTATGGTAATGCTCTCTGTGGGGGATGTTTATAACTGCTTTTGGGGGTGTACGGATCCTTCTCAAATATGCTGCAAGCGATAGTTTGACATTTTCTGGTAAATACATTCTCATGATTGCTTCTTGCTTTATTTTAGCTACTGATCTGCTTCTTGCCTGGAACCCGATTTGTCTGGGATTGGTAGAAGGAGTTATTGGGAAAATTCAGCTTCATTCAGGTATGTTCTACAAACTCCTTACAATTGTAAAATTTAACATGACATTCTGTGACATTGTCCTTTCCGAGGTTGCATGTAGATTCTATTATGACCTTGGTTCCTTTGTCATAATTTTGGGTCTTAAAGCAAATATTTCTATTTAAGTTTAATGAAATAAAAATAACGCTTTTGAGAAAAGAAGATATGCTATTACAATTGTTTTTCTCTTTTCTTAAAAACAGTTCTGATATACTCCTTACTTGGTGCCAGGGATTGCACTAACTAATTTAACACAATTGTGAGTCCACACTCACCCTTTCCTACCCTCCCAGAGCTTCTGGTTAGAGGGAATACAGAATGCATGATCACACGATGCACGTGTAGTCCCTGGGCCTGGAAGTGCGTTCTGTCAAGGAAAGGTACAGCAAGTTCACAGACATGAGGGGAAGGTGCTGGAACAAAGCTGGAAGGGTGGGCAGGTGGCAACGTGATTGGCTGGCTTTGGGTTGGCTGCCTAGTCCTGAGTCAGTCACCTCTGCCAGGGAAGGGTCTTTTAGTATGTAGTGTGGTACATTCTCGGACCTCTGTCCAAGGCAGGCAAATGGATGGAAAGTTTAAGTCATTTACCTGGTCCCCACCTGGGAGAGCAGGCACCTCATCTCCCAGCTGTATGAGTATCCATGCTACATATATACATGAGTACCCCAGGAGCCAGAAGAGAGTGTTAATCCCCCTGCAGCTGGAGTTACAGGCAGTTGTGAGCAGGCCCATGTGGATGCCAGGAACTGGAAGAGCAGGAGGTATTCTTTTTGTTTTGTTTTGTTTTTTCGAGACAGGGTTTTTCTCTGTAATAGCCATGGTTGTCCTGGAACTCGCTCTGAAGACCAGGGCGGCATCAAACTCAGAGAGATCTGCCTGCGTCTGCCTCCCAAGTGCTGGGATTAAAGGCATGCACCACCACTGCCCAGCACAGGAAGTATTCTTAACCTTCATTTGATTTTCAGAGACAGGGTCTCACTCTAGCCCAGGCTTGCCTGGAGCTTGCAATATAGCCTAGGTGGCCTTGAACTTGATAACCTCTGCCTGCTGAATGATGGGTTTACAGACATGTACCATTACAGATGCCTCCTTTGATAATAACTTTAGTATGAATTGTGAACTGTAGGAGACTTTGACATTGTTACTGTGTAACCACCTCTGAAGTCAGTTACATCTCTGTAGTATACCTGCTGTGACTTTTGTTCATCTGTTTGCTTTCCTTTAAGATTATGATGTGTAATGATGAGCTGCGGGCAGGCCTGCTTTTCGTCCTGCCCGGCTCCTGCACAGCTAGCTTTACACCCAAAATAACAACACACAAACTGTATTCTTTTAAACACTGCCTGGCCCCTTAGTTCTAGCCTCTTATTGGCTAATTCTCACATCTTGATTAACCCATTTCTAATAATCTGTGTAGCACCACGAGGTGGTGGCTTACTGGGGAAGATTCAGCATGTCTGATCCAGTGGCTGGCTCCATGGCATCTGCCCAGAGAGGAGAGGCATGACGATTGCCTAACTTCCCTTGTTCCCAGCATTCTGTTCTGTTTACTCCACCCACCTATGTTCTAACCTATCAGGCCAAGCAGTTTATTAATTAACCAATGAAAGCAACAGATAGACAAATGACCTTCCCACATCAATGATGTATGTACATGTGTGTATGGTGTGTGTGTGTGTGTGTGTGTGTGTGTGTATGAGAGAGAGAGAGAGAGAGAGAGAGAGAGAGAGAGAGAGAACGAGAACACACTTGTGGAGGTCAAGAACAACTTTTGGAGGTTGGCTCTTCTTTCCACTGTGGGTTCAGGGGCTGGAACTCTGGTCTTAGTGCTTCTGTTTACCCACTGAGCCACCTCGCTGGTCTTGTTTTCTTTTGTATGTCAGGGCCTCACTTTGTAGCTCAGGTTTATTTTGAACTCATGATGATTCTCCTGCCATAGCCTTCCAAGTGCTGGGGTTATAAATATGAGCCACTACAACAGCTGTTTTTAAGTTTAAAATAAAATTATTGAGCATTTAGGCACAGGTTGACTTTTGTGAATTACAAAAGCATATTGCTGGAGACAATTTGTAACTTTCTTTTACTAGGTTCTTTGATTATATTTTAAATAGTGTTCTTATTATGAAAAAAATTTTATAAATATAAGGGACTGCTTATCACAGACAAATAGTATAGGGTTTTTTTTTTTTTTTTTTTTTTTTTTTTTTTTTTGAGACAGAGTTTCTTTGTAGCTTTTGAGCCTAGCCTGGAACTCACTCTGTAGACCAGGCTGGCCTCGAACTCACAAAGATCCGCCTGCTTCTGCTTCTGCCTCCCAAGTGCTGGGATTAAAGGTGTGCGCCACCACTGCATGGCTAGTAGAGGGTGTTTTAAAGTGTACATCTTTATCTTCTGTCCAGATTAAGAAGTGAAACACAACCAGTCACTTCAGAAGGTATCTTTGCCATTTTCTCCAAGCGTGTCCTTCCCGTGAAGGGAATCGACTCAAGTTTTATTATTCCCTTGAAAATGATTGCTTTTCTTGGATATATATTCCTAAACAGTTGTTGCTAAGATTTATATTTTGGAGATTTTTATTTAAATTTCATTAAATTATTTGTGTTCTCTCTCCTGTGTTGTGTGTGTGTGTTTGTGTGTGCATGCATGTTCATGGGTGTTTGTGGAGACCAGAGGTCAATGTTGGGTATCTCCCTTGTGCTTTTTGCTTTGTTTTTTGAGATAGTGTCTCACTGAACCTGGAGCTGATGCCTTCAGCTGGGCTGGCTGGCCAGTGGACGCCAGGGTCCTCTTGTCTCTGTCCTTCCAGAACTGAGATTACAGATGCACCACCCCTAAAGTTTTTGTGTGAATTTAGGCTCATGACCACTGAGCCATCTCCCATTCTGTATCATCTGGTATAAATTCACTGATTTCAATATGCAAAACAACTCTTTCTGCATATTGCGAATTAGTAATTATGTTGAGAGGTTCTTTAAAATCCCTTAGTACCATGAGAATAGCATATAATTCTGACTTTTAGACAGAATCATAAGGCCTCTGTTCCACTTTACTTAAATCTTCAGATTTGTATCCTGCCCTTCCTGATTTATTTGCATCAGTATAGAATGTAGGGGCTCCAGTTATTGGTGTGTCTCATACAATGCGAGGAAGGATCCAATTAGCTCTCTTTGTAAGTCTAATTCTATCACTTTGGAATAGTTGTTTTAATCTCTTCCAGAAACTGTTTTGGGATATACCTATGCTGATAAATGAAACTAGAGTTCCTTGTTCTTTCTTTATATGAATATTTCATGATTTGTCTCTCTTCCTTCATTCTCTCTCTCTCTCTCTCGCTTTCATCCATCCTGTTGGAAATAATATTGCTCTGAGTCTTGTTGTGTATTCTGCTTTTGGTAGGCTTTAAATTTTTCCTTCAGCACAGAGGAGAAAAGCATTTAGTCATTGTGTACCCTTATTAAGTATCTTAACACACTCCTACCTGTCCATATTTAATTGCATATATCTATAATTCATTTACATACTGACAAGATAATTTCACAACTGGATGTTCTGAGTTAAAATTCATTTTCTATTATGTAAATGACATGTATGAAACTTCTGAATTATTTTTCTCCAGTTTCAGTCACATCTTGGAGCAGTGAGTAAATTACTGAAATCAGTCAGGAGACCAAGGGTCAAGCTCCATTTGTTAATACTTATTATTATTATTTATTAGAGAACTCTAACGTCCACTGCCTAAAGATTTTCCAAATGGTTTAAGACAGCAACAGTGCACAGTCCTCCAGGATCCTGTGGGCTAATGGTTCTGTTCTTCTCATCTGCCTGCTGGCTAGACCAGCAGCCACACTCACCTGAGTTTGCCTGGGTTGCCACACTGCCTCCATGTAGCCTTTTTACCTCTCCCCATGGCTCTCATCTTACAGAGCCTCTCTTCTGGGATCCTCCTTTCTATTCTGGTGTCTATGCCTTTCTCTGAATTGTGGGGGCATCTTTTCAGGGAGTGCCTGGAAGCCAAGAAGACAAATCCCCGGGTCAAGGACCTTACTTTCTAAGCTGTAAAACAAAAGCCAGAGTAATTTGCCTAATTATGTGTTTAGGTCTTGGGAGTCCTGAATGAGATAGTGTACCTGAAGCTTCTTACTTAATTACAACACTCTTTTTATCAAGACTCCTTTACTTACACAAATCTGTCAGCTTACGTTAAAGGGAAAAATCTATCAGCTTGTGCAAAAAATAAATAAATAAAACACTTTTCAATAGAACCAGGGTTCTGAAACTGAAAGTGGGTTTTTATGGGATTTCAGATCTCTTATCAATAGCGGTTTCTCTTTGCATATCTCCTTCACCTGTTTCTCTTTGATTTTTTTTTTTTTTTTTTTTGAGATGGAGGTCTTGTGTAGCCCAGGCTGGCCTCAAACTTCCTTTGTAGCCAAAGATGACCTTGAACTTTTGATCTTCCTGCCTCCCTCCTGAGAGGTGAGATAGCTATACCAAGTGGTGCTGGGGTTGAACCTAGAGCCTCATGCATTTTAGGCAAGCACTCTATCAACCAAACTCCAGCCCTAGACCCTATTTATATTTTCAAAAAGGGGGGAGGGTTCTGCTCAAAAGATGGTATTCTCTCTCATCCCTTAGGCCTACTCTGAGGTTCCCTGTAGTCAGTGGAGACTGACCAGCGATCAAAACAGATTGATTCACACATCTAGAGAAGAAGCTTGGTCCCGCTTGGCCAAGGGCCTTCAAAGTCACCTAGTTCAAAGTACATCACAGGACCACTTTCCTAGATAAAGGGAGCAGTCAGGGAAGCAGGGAGACCTAGGCAGACAACCCCAAGTCTTTTATCAGCCCTGGCCAAATTGAAGTTAATGCCTGCTGGCTCTTCCCCTCCGTGCTGAAGGCATCCACGCCTGTGGTTGCCTTGTTTGTGTGTAGGCAGTATGAGAAGTAGTGATAGGGGACATTTGGAAGAGGGGGTGGGGAGG